AATCAAAAAACCCTTCAAAATGGCCGTTCCAACCACCCATTCCGCGGAGCTCCTCGTAACTGTCTCCGTGGTTGTAGTTATGATTCCAAACAACTCACTCCACGGAGCTCTTATTGTATCCGCAGAGAGCCTACGCGGAACACTATTTTAAAGGCTAAAAATCATACTTTTGACTGGTCCGCGGAGATGACGTCATTCCGCAGAGGTCCGCGGAGGGTCCTCCGCGGAATTTATGTCTGTAGCTTGAAAAATCAAATTTTATAACTAAATTTAGAAATTCACCCCTATTTTTTTCTATTTGTGGTATTTTCCCTTTCCAAATTCCTAATTGGATGAACAATCCTCCTGAGATAGGTAAGGTAAGGTTTTGAGCATGCATCTGTGATGGCGTTGGTTTGAGAATAACTCAGGAAGGCTGATGCCCAATACCAAAAAAGAGATTTGGGCCCCGTCAACTGTTTGTGCCACAAAAATTTTAAAGACTAAAGACGTTGGACCTCATATAAGTTACAAAGTGGAATTTTCAAAATTTATTCATACTACTTGATGGAATTCAAGACGATTCATATAAAATTATGTTTCTTGACTTGTTCTCAAGAGGAGACTTTTTCAAGAATTAATGTTACATCAGGATTATACCATTCACACTTTTAATTATTTCACCGGGAATAGTAGATGCCTTGCTTAACTATTGTAGCGACCACAACAACAAAATGAATAGTGATAATGGAAGCGAAAGGCAAATAGTTGACCCGTATTTCCTCCATCAAACTTGCAATCGGCTACACCCAAATCCCGTTTCTTTGTCTTACCTCCAAACACTGTGAGACATTTTCCAGTAGCCCGAGATACCCAAAATCTAAACTGCCTGTGGTTCAAATGCTTGGGTGGATTAATCGATTTCCAATCTGCAAAAGCCAAGCTTTCCAAAGATGTCAAAGACCGGAGCTTCACTTCACCATGCTTGTCAACTGTCAAGAAGTTTTGACCCCCTGAACATTTATCCATATAGTTACTGAACCTACACATAGATTAATTATCATTTATTAATGTCAGTGTTACATATCTGGAGTCCTACATTTTCTCTTCAAAAGAATGACTTAAAATTTGATAAACTCACTAATCCAAAGAGTGACAATTGATTAACAAAATAAGTCCTAATTAACTACATAAGAAAACTTGATTCTTTCGATAATTGTAACCGAAAAAGACGTAAAAAGATGGTCACTTGCGGTTTCCGTTTTTTTATTCCTAATTTTTATTGGCTCTGATATCATGCAAGATTTGTGGAGCTGAGAACAAACATAAAGAAAAACAGATGTGGGACACTACAACAATCATGATCTTGAGAATAAGGCTAAGAATTAGAAGGTTGAGTCAACAAACTAACCTATGATAACCCGAAGCAGATCCGGAGGTGGATTCCCATCCGAAATAGGCGTTGTACTCCAAAGACTGGCCACCCACAACATTGGGTACCGAGTAAACACCTCTATCACTTGCATTAACATAGTCAGACTGCAGTGCTCCAGCAATAAGGGTGTCATCAAAAGCAGTCATGTGAGGGTAGGCTTCACTTGCTGGACATGTTTTGGTCTTATGATCGCATGTTGAACACTGGTCGCATAAATTCTTGCTCTCTAATTTGTGTGTTGGAGGCGCATAATCAATCCCACCACCCATGCTCACCACCACCAGATTCATCATGATCAGGATGCTGCATAATGGGATTATTCGATCCATAATCTGGGTATCTCACTAATTAATGTCACCTTGTTATATATCAACACACATTACTTCGGCGAGTGATGCTAGGATTGGCTTTTTGTGATATTTAAAACTGTAAGTAATATTGTTTATGTCGCTCCTTGTTCCTCCTTGAACCAATCTCATAATATATTCCAAAAACTCATCATTTCAAACATAGTAAATATCAGCAAGTATCACACAATCACGCTCTTTTACAGCTTATACATATATTTATACAATTAATGTTTGTTGCATATACAACAAAACAAAGTATGTATGTACACACGAACACAACAAGATTAACAAACGATAACCAAAGTATATAACTTTTGTGTTTTAGACACCACCAGTGACGCAAGAGAGGAGTCTATGGCTTCTGAATCGAATAAGTTTCTTGTTATCGTCAAGATTCCCATGGGTCGACTTGCTTCTTGTAGGGGCGACTTGAGGCTTGTCTTTATTTTCTTGTTGTGGGTAGTGATAATTGTATCCATCTGGGTAGAATTCTTTGATGTTGTAGCTTTGATAGCGTCCCTTTACAGTCATGCTTCTTTTGATGCTCTTATACACCATCGGAATGAGTCCCTCCATGATTGGAAATCCAGTTTGTCTTGAATTGGTTATGGTGGGTTGAGGAACATATTAATGTTTTGAATACGAATATTATATACAATCATACCTAATTTGACCTCATCAAACGCATAATTAAGACGTTCCATCTTTCTTCCTTATCGTGTTGGTCATGTGGTGCGTATAATAATTTGGAAAATTTTGTTGCAGGTGGTGATTTGGTCAATGAGACGTGATTGCCAGCAATGAATCCCATGGAAAAGTCTTTGGAGTGATGAGTTGTATTGAAATATAGTAGTATTCAAAATGGATTTGATATTGCGTCTTTCATGCCTGAACAATAGTTTATTCATATTGCATAAAAGACCCCTCATCGGTTGAATTGGTGACTCTCTCTCATCGATCTATGTCTAGTCAAACAAGCATCTTCCCTTGCCACGCTTCATTTTCGTTCTCCCACGGTGGATTGATCATTTTTTACATATAAACACAAGATAAAATTACATTTTCAGTCCCTGTGGTTTACTGATTGTTTTGAATTAAGGATACATTTTTTTAATTTTAACACGGACAGTCCCTATCTAATCTTTTTGTCACACATTTAGTCCTTCCGTTAAATTTCTTAACATTAGTCCAGTTAAATAGAGGCATGTGATCCGCACATGGTAGGCAAAATGGTCTTTTTTTCTTGTTCTATTGCTACCATATATATATATATATATATATATATATATATATATATATATATATATATATATATAATATATATATATATATATATATATATATATATATATATATATATATATATATAGTGTTGTAAAACTCGCCGAGTTGGCCGATTACTTCTCCGAGTACTCGCTACTCAGCCCCTTACCGAGGCGAGTTACAAAATATCGAGTACTCCCCAATCGGCCTATTTACTAAACTGAGTAGTGTCGTAAAACATGGTCAATTCGGTGATTAATATGTATAATATACTTAATGATTTATTATTTAACACATACATGTGATTATTACTACATATATATATCTTAAATTTTCAGTAATTATTCACGAAGTAAGACGATTATGTGATTTTTCAGCTTTTGTGTATTCACATGTATCTAATTTTGTAATATATTTCAATCAACTTATGATTTTGACATATATAATTTCCCTAAAAATATTTCTACATGAATTACCGAATCCGAGTACTCCCCTAGTACTCCCGAGAACTCCCGGGTACTCGCTACTCGGTAGTCGGCCGAACAGGTACCGAGTAACGAGTTCTGCAACCTTGTATATATATATATATATATATATATATATATATATATATATATATATATATATACTAGTAGGTTACCCGCGCGATGCGGCGGCGCCAAACAATTCATTTCCGCAGATAGTTTTCATGCGGCGATTAGTTTCATTTTCGTATCAAATAGTTCATTTCAACCTTTTGTCAGATTGTTTTGTATCCGCAAGACATAAGAGTCATTACCTATGGCCCGTGTGGTCTTGGAATTACCCAAATAATGTCTCCTAACATCGCGACGGGGACCGATAGAAGCAGACACAAATTGACTCACTACATGTACTGCATAAGCGGACGAATGGCAGTAATATATAACAAACTTTTATTATAAAAGAACAAAAAAAAATAAGAAATTATGTATGCCAGTCGATTGATGAATTCAAGCTCACCCTGTATTTAGATAGTTCTTTTTGGCGGATGCGGCGACGAAAAATAGTTTATTTTAGCGATTTGTTTTCTGTCGGTAAGTTGTTTCGAAATAAAAATAAAAGTACGTTGCTATTATGAATACAAAAGAAGTTAATATTGGGATGAAATCAAAAGCATGTTTTCTTTTGTTTCAAATAATTATTTTTGGATATTTTGGGTTATATATTAATTTTCGTTGTTGGTTGAAATTAAAATATAAAATTTTGTTGTTCTTTTAGATTTTAAAATATACTTACGTGTTTATAGTTAATCATAATATACACAAATATAGTATATTATGCATTTTTTAAAATGAACATATATGTTGATAAAAAAAAAAAAAAAAGTAAAGTAAATTGACGTCTACTTTCTTGAAAACAGTAAAAACTTTATTCTTCTTTTTCTATTATCGAAAATTATTTGTATTATATCTATCATTATTATATTATAATTAAGGAGAATATATTTAATACTATTTATATAGATAAAATGTTTAATATATCAAAACATGATATGCTATCAAATAAAGAAAAATATTAGGTGTGCTATGCATTCATCCCACCCCACATCTTATTGTACTTTTCGTATCTTATTTATTTTAATCATACCACTTCTATTTTTTACCTTTTATTTTTCAAATATTTTGATAAATTATATATCATTATTATTAGTAGATTATATTTGATCAAGTTATTTATAAATTGACTTAAATTTTAAAAAAAAAAAATCAACTATATATTGAATAAGTGTTTTTTCTAAAACGTTTATGCACAGTCCATTTGTTTGATATAATTTTGAAAGTTACTATTATATAGTTAATTAAATTTGTAATTATCAATTATGAAAATATGTGTTCTTTAGATAATGACACAAAAACTTGAAAAACAATATTTTTCTATTATAATCCAAAATAAAAGTTGTTAATACTCTGATTAATAAACCAATTTAAAAATAAGTTAATTTATTTTTTAGGTAAGCAATATTATTGTTAGTAGTAGTTATTTTAGTAATATTAATATTTTATTTTTATTAGATAAATGTTATATAATCTCGTCTCTTTTCTAGAAACATACATATTAGTATCATGCATAATTAAAGTATAAGATTTATAGTTTTGAAAAATATATATTCAAAAGAATTAGATATTGAAACCAATAAAAAACCCATACCTATAAAATATCGACGTCAATGTAAATGCTCAAGTTCATGTAGGTACCTTAGCTTAAAAAGAAAAATTAATTGTACTTTGTACATCTAAGAAATAATGAAAACTTGATATATACCTACATCGATTTACACATTTATGCAGCTTTATACATAAACACAAAAATTTATACAAACACGCACCACTTATTATGCATACATACACAGAGGTTTATACATATATACAAGTTATACATACATACAGAGGTTTAATCAAACAAAAAATCTAAATAAAACAAAAACTTATGCACATTATAATGTGCACTCAATTATATAGTTTAATTATAAACATCGGTTACTATTGGGTGTCTCTTCACTACTCAATTTTATCAGAAAAAAGTATCCTTAGCATCTGTCTGCCTTCTTCGTATCAGAAAAAGCACTTCAAGCTCACATTTCCTTTTTCATAACAACTTTTTGTATATCCTTTTAACTTCCTTCTCATCCTACAAAAAAAAAATCAGACAATTATACATAGTATTACACACACAAGTAAAATGAATGACACAAATTACAAGAATCAAAACAAAACAAAAATACTATGAAAAATCACAAGCAAACAAGAAACAATGGAATGATTATTACCGGTTCACGTTTTTGTCTTCAGTGGCATATACAAAGTCAAATCAACTTTTACATATTTGCAACAATCAAAGGAGGCCAATGATTTCGATTAAAAAACAATGTCACACTGAATCCATCTAACTCTAACAAAAATCGACATATAAATTCATCAAAAGTGGACTTCCGAGAATGGCTTTGACAGGTTAGACGGTGTACAATGGAGAAGCCGATGGTAGCGAATAACTATAAATGATGGATAAGAGAGCAGTGGTAGCGTTAACAAGAAAAGGAGAATGATAAGGGGGACACGGTTAGTTGTGGTGGTGACGGTGCACGATTTGCCGGATGTATGAAACGGGTTCCAGAGAGAAGAGGGAAAGGGGTCGTGTGAGAGAGAGTGGCTGAGAAGAGTGATTAGCGTTTTGGTCCTTTTGGAGTATGTTTATGTTTTGTGTTATCCCTTGACACTTACCAGCCATCAGATCAAATATCAAATGAATGGTCCTGATTAAACATGTTGGCAATCCATTTAATGTGCCATGTCACCAATCCATGTGACTTTCTCTTATTGATGAAATTATGAGTATACGTACCACCAGACCATGCATATAAATTTGTACATCAAGCTCCATAACTTGTCTTTAAGACATTTTCTTAAGATATGCTTAATTTTATTGTACATAAGGCATACAAATTTGTATTTAAGACATTGAAGATGTATGCTTTATAAGATGGTGTATATATATATATATATATATATATATATATATATATATATATATATATATATATATATATATATATATATATATTATATATATATATATATATATATATATATAGGTTATAAGGTAAATGAACAACTATTGTGCGGAGGTGTGAATAATGTTATTTTATGAGAATTATCTAAGAGAATATGTTGTTTAGTAATGTGAATACGTTCAATCTCACAGAACTATTGTTATTTAAATGAATTCTCATTAATTCTAATTCGTTTTTGTTCTTATGCATCGTTTTTTATTTATTTTAATTCTTACAGAATACGACTCAATAAACATCCTGATAAGATTCTGACAAAATGAGAACAATTAAAAAAAATCTATAATAACCTTTTAGACGATTTAATTAATGAAAATGTGTAATAATTACAATAATTATATATGATTGAATGTATTCATATTATCAAACAACATATTTTATTTTTCATTATCACAGAATGACATTATCCACACGTACTCACAATAGATATCAATCCAAATTTGAACATAGCTCTCTATTTCTTTCTTTCTCTCTCTCTCTCTCTGTATATATATATATATATATATATATATATATATATATATATATATATATATATATATATATATATATATATCAAGAGAGAGAATAGTTGTGAGACTCGTATACTACAAATGTTTATTCTAGAAAAAGGGTAAATATGAATACTTAAAAATTTATAAAGTTTGAATTTATAAGGAAAAAATTTATTGAATTACTGAAATGTAATGTTTAATTTGTTATTTTTAACTTTTTTATTTCTCGTTTAAATTTAAATAAATAAACAAATATAATAATTGGATTCAATTTAGAAATTTAGAAATTAAAAGGAAAGTTACATTAATGAGATTAATATGTATTTATTATATTTGAATATTATACGAAATTTAATAAAATACAAAAAAAAAACAGAAAATGATAATTGGAAGAAAAATCAAATCAAATATCTTAGAAAAAGACATGTGTCAAATGCAATGAAAACATGACATGTAATAAAAAAGATCTTTAGTTATTACATTATATATATATATATATATATATATATATATATATATATATATATATATATATATATATATATGTACACACACACACATTTATACTAGTAGCGTATCCGCACGATGAGGCGACGACAATTCGTTTATTTCGATGGATATATAATTATTTTCTTTTGGTGAATAGTCTTATTATGGTC